CTCTATTTGATCGTACAGACCCGAAGGCAGCACGGGGGCAGCAAGCAGCAGGTCATCCATATAATGGACTACCAAAATAGTGGGGTGCTGCTGACGAACTGCCTCGAGGGCTTTGGCCACATACATCTGACAAATTGTAGGGGAATTCTTCATACCTTGAGGGAGGACAACCCATTCATACCGGGCTGCTGGCTGCATATTGTTCAACGATGGAATGGTTAGAGCAAAACGCTTGGTGTCATCGGGATGCAAAGGTATGCTGAAAAAACAATCCTTTAAATCTATAATCATACATTGCCAATCTCTAGGGATCATAGTAGGTAACGGCAACCCGGGCTGTAAGGGCCCCATGTCCTCCATCGAGGCGTTAACCGCACGTAAATCATGTAAAAAGCGCCATTTCCCAGATTTTTTCTTAATTACAAATACAGGGGAATTCCAAGGGCTAGTTGATGGAACGAGATGTCCTTGTTGCACTTCTTGTTTGACGAGTTCATGCAGAGCGATAAGCTTTTCTTTTGTGATGGGCCACTGGGCAACCCATATGGGGTCATCCGACCGCCATGTTAAACGCCAACAGGGGCGCGGCTCCCCAGTGGCCCCCTGTATAAAACCTGCTGTGAAGGTTCAATATGCAAGCGAGCTCCTGCTAACACTAATGCATCACGACCTAACAGAGATATAGGAATGGCTAGAACATAGGGTCTGAGAGGCCCCACCTCCCGCCGGACGCCAGCGTCATCCCAGCGAATCAATACTGGATGATGGCTACGATGACCTTCCACCAAACCACCCACCCCACTGACCGCTCGGGGCAGCGGATCTAGTGGCCACTGTTGAGGCCAGTGTGCAGCGGAAATGGAGGTGACATCTGCACCAGAATCCACTAAAAATGTTATAGTGGCTACCGGTGGAAATGGATCCTTCACACCTTGAATAGCTACTCGGGCAGGCAAAGTTGGCCGAGAACCCATGTCAAAGCTAACTTGTATCAGGGGATAATTCACGCTAGAGAGTCCATCATCACTCTCGGCTATCAGAGGGAACACAGTGGGCTCAGCTGTGGCAGTCCGCAGCTGCACGGGAATCTCCACTCCTTGCTCCACTGCCCGTGAACCTGCAAGCCAAGCTTCTGTATTTACCAATCGTTTTCCGGCCCGAGACTGGACGGCGGACTTGTCCACCCCTGCTCGATGGGGGTTGGGACCCACGCTTGCGGCCGAGACGGTGGGTCCCTTTTCGTCCCGGCGTTGGCGTTTCCCGACTGCCCATCCCTTTTTCCCTCTTTCACTTCCCCTTTGCGTTGTGAGCACTCCCGAGCGCGGTGGCCAGACCGCCCACACACCCAACAACGAATACGGCTGACTTCGACCACAGGTTCCCTTTTCTCGGGACATTCACGAGCTACGTGACCACGCTGTCCGCAGCGAAAACAACCACCAGGATGTATCTGGAGGGCAAATGTCTGGAGGGCAGACGTGACTCCTGCCATCTGCTCACTGAGAGCAGCAGCAAGAGGTTGCATCTCCTGAGCCTTGCCAAACGCACAGCCACGAGCGATCAGCTCGCCCACGCTTGCTGAAGCCGGAAGCGCTGCAAGAGCAGCTTTGAATTCAGGCTGAGCTCCTGTCCTTAAGCATTCCCTCAAAACAACATCTTGTGCTTCCGGTGGTAAATTACTGCTTGCCACAGCTGTCTGCACCCTGTCTGCAAAACGCCCAAAATGTTCCTCAGGTTTTTGCCGAATATGCAGATAACTGGGAGTCGGGCTGACTACAGCATTCATCCGCTCTAATGCCCTACGACCCAAATCGGCGGTGGCAATAAGCACAGCTTGCGGCAGCAACAATTGTTCCTGAGGAGTATTCCACCGCCCTCGTCCCAACAACGCTTCCCCAGACATGCCATGTAAAGGATCCTGGGGGTTCGCCCATGCACGCGCCATTAACACTTCACCTTCCTCTTCTAGCAAAGACTCAAACATGGGTACCTGCGCTGCCGTCAGGCAGGCTCGGGCAACCTGCCGCCAGTCAAACATCAGGGGCCCTTGCAAAGCCACCGCATCCAACAAAACCTGTGTCTGTGGGCTAGAGAACCCACCCTCCTGTACAGCCTTTTTTAACTGTAGCAGCATCTTATAGTCTACCGGCTGCCACTGATGTCCCTGAGACCCTGCGAAAACAGGAAAACACCCTATCCGCACAGGACTTGGCGTTATTTCACAACCCGAGAGAAGACATTCTCTCGCACTAATAGTCCATTTTTCTCTTGCCTTTTGCACCTCCTCGCGGATGTGCATCGGCTGCCGCGGGGTAACCTGTCGAGGATCTCGAGACTCCTCATCTATTGAACTCTCACTATCCACTCGTTCTCTCTCTCGGGGCGTAGCACCCGACGGAACAGGAACGCGACACACGGACGATGGTAGGGGCTTCTCCGAAAAACACTCCACCCGCACTTCCCCCCCCTCCTGCTCTCCAGGGTCAAACACGGGGGGGACTGCATACAGCGGCGGCCGGAGGGAGCCCGAAAACGCCGGCGCTTGCCCAGATGCCACCCCTGCCCCTTCTGGACTCCCAGCAGGGAACAGAATAAGGGAGCCCTTCTTATTTACCCCCCAAAAGGACCCGTCCGATGAAGTATGTACTGTGCTCCCTTCTGCTGGAGGGGCACTGGGTGTTGCTATTCCTTCACGATCCAACCGAACTCGCAGGGGGGCCACAAAAGGTTTCCCACCCTCTTCTTTCTCCTGCTCCACATTATTTTTATCCCCCAATCGAGCCTCCTCCTTCACCTGCTCTGACCCTTCCTTTAGATCGTTTTTTATCGGCAGCTCCATAGGAGCTTGCTTATTCTCACTGTCCCCATCGGACAAAAGCATACGGTGCACAGTAGCCCACAGGCATGCCTCGTTGGCTACCTTTTCCAAAACCGCTCGCACCGACCCATAGGTTGGTAACAAAGTCAGCGCCTCTTTGTTCCCGATGCAGGCGCTATCAAATAAATCCCGTCCCACCGTTTCTAAAACGGTCTGTCTCAGGCAATGGACAGGAGACTTTGCCAGATTCCGGCGTGTCATCCAGAGCAAGAGGGACTGTACGTCCTTCTTTCGTAGTGTTATCCCTACTTCCTTGGCCAAGGATTTAACAGTACTCACCACCTCATCGACTCCAGGCCCCATGGCCACCCGCGTACCTAGCACGTACGCACCGCGCCTAACTCGCACCACGCCTAACTCGCGCCAACCGGTTGCACGTCGGGGTTCGTATCACGTCGGGGTCACCATATGTAGGATAACCCGACTGAAAGCCCCGGGACAAACGGACACAACGACCAGCGTTCTGTGCCGTAAGCCAATTTATTGCTGCGTGACAGTATCTTATATAGTGTTAAAACGTCCCACCCAGGAACCCAGGACCCCTCCCACTGTGCTCGCAGGCACCCCAGACCCCTCCTTTTGTGCACGCAGGCACAACCCAGAATAATCCCACAAACGTCTTTTGAAGACTTCCAGGGATGGTGACTCCACCATCTCCCTGGGCAGCCTGTTCCAGTGCCTAACAACCCTTTCAGTAAAGAAATTCTTCCTAACATCCAACCTAAAACTCCCCTGGCGTAACTTTAGCCCATTCCCCCTCGTCCTGTCACCAGGCACATGGGAGAACAGGCCAACCCCCACCTCGCTACAGCCTCCTTTAATGAACTTATACAGAGCAATAAGGTCACCCCTGAGCCTCCTCTTCTCTAGGCTGAACAAGCCCAGCTCCTTCAGCCGCTCCTCATAGGACTTGCTCTCCAGGCCCCTCACCAGCTTTGTCACCCTTCTTTGGACCCGCTCAAGCACCTCGATGTCCTTCTTGTAGCGAGGGGCCCAAAACTGAACACAGTACTCGAGGTGCGGCCTCACCAGAGCCAAGTACAGGGGGACGATCACCTCCCTAGCCCTGCTGGTCACAGTGTTTCTGATACAAGCCAGGATGCCGTTGGCCTTCTTGGCCACCTGAGCACACTGCTGGCTCATATTCAGCCGACTGTCCACCATCACTCCCAGGTCCTTCTCTGCCTGGCAGCTCTCCAACCATTCCTCTCCCAGCCTGTAGCTCTGCTTGGGGTTATTGCGCCCCAGGTGCAGGACCCGGCACTTGGCCTTGTTGAACTTCATACAGTTGACCTCAGCCCATCGGTGCAGCCTATCTAGATCCTCCTGCAGAGCCTTCCTACCCTCGAGCAGATCGACACACGCACCTAGCTTGGTGTCATCTGCAAACTTACTGAGGGTGCACTCAATGCCGTCATCCAGATCATTGATGAAGATATTAAAGAGGACCGGCCCCAGCACCGAGCCCTGGGGGACGCCACTAGTGACTGGCCTCCAACTGGACTTGGCTCCATTTACCACAACTCTTTGGGCCCGGCTATCCAGCCAGTTTCTAACCCAACAAAGCGTGCGCCAGTCCAAGCCAAGAGCAGCCAGTTTCTTGAGGAGAATGCTATGGGAGACGGTGTCGCAGACTATTTTGATCTGGTAACATCTCCTCAAGTATCTCTGTCGTGGCATAGGCTTGCCTCTCGGCCCAGCATACCAATTTTTCTAAGTTGTTACGTGCGGCCGCAGATGCCACTCCAGGCACTAAAATTGCCAATGCCGCTCTAACTGCAACCCCACACAATTCAACATTATCATTGCAATCCGGTGCAAGCAATGCCCATTTATGTCTGGTGATCTCATGCAACTGTAACAAGCTAGGAGCAAATACAATGAGTTTATCTAAGTAACATGAACATCTGATAGCATTTGCAGGGATACCTTGCCAGGCCCTATCCCCACAAATCAGAAGCACATCAGGAGGTAAGACCAAAGCTGTACAATTGTTCCAAACACTGTAGTTTTTACCCCTTGTCTCCGTGCCATAAACCCCTAAACCCTGCTTAGCAGCGTCATTGTAATCACAGGTGTTATTTGTGTTTTTGTACCGGTATGGCCCTTTCCCGGTTCCTGTAGCAGGATTCATCTGATAGCCACGGCTACATTCACATTTGTAGCCACCTTTCAGGTTGATACAGATTTGACTACAGATACCAGGGTTTTGACATTCATCAAAATCTCCACAGTTTCTCTTGTCTACAAACTCAAACCCAGCTGGACAGTCACATTCATTTTTGTTGCATTCCTTCAGGGGCCCATCACCCCAGTCCTTGTAGTCTCTCTGCTGGTTACACACCTTATTGATATCTATGCATTCTCCACTTCTGCACTTGAATTTGCCAGGTCCAGAGCACTGAATAACATTGTTACAGTTTGCTTCATCAGTGCCATCCAGACAGTCTCTCACACCACTGCACTGCCTACTCCCATGGACACAGTTCTCATCTTCACATCTGAACTGGTCTGGCCTGCAGGTCCGAGAAGGGCAGTTAATTTCATCACTTCCATCCTTGCAATCAGGATCTCCGTCACATCGCCACTTCCTGTGGATACATTCACCTGAGCCGCACTGCACCTCACTCGCAGAACACTTTACCGGAGGTGTAGGCTGGCAGCCACACTGCTCCAAAGATTCATCCGAGTGGTCGGAGCAGTCAGCATCATCATCACACACCCATCTGATAGGGATGCAGGTAGAACTCTTGCACTGAAACTCATGAACAACACAGGTAGGAGGTGCATACTCCAGCTCATCACTACCATCACTGCAGTCATCTTGACCATTGCAGACAAAGCTTTTGGAAATACATTGCCCACTACTGCATGTGAACTCTGCTGCACTACAAGTCACATTGCCACAATTCTCTTCATCTTCTCCACTGTCACAGTCTTTTTCACCATCACATTTCCAGGACACTGGGATACACTGGGTTGACTGAGGACCACAGCTGATTTCATTTACCCGACATGTTCTCATATGACACAGCTCAGCACTCTCGTCAGACCCATCTTCACAGTCCGGATCCCCATCACACTGCCATCTGTTTGGCACACACTGACCACTGTTGCACACAAAGTCAGATTCAGCACACATCTTCTTCACACAAGCACTCTCATCACTGCCATCTGAGCAGTCTTCATCACCATCACATTTCCAGAGTAAAGGAATACAGCGTCCATTACTACATGGGAACTGGGATTCTTCACATTTTGCTCTAGCACTGTCGGCAGCAGTGCACAGGCAGGTGAGGGCGAGCAGCAGGCAGAATGCCCCACAGCGCGGCAGCGATCGCCGCCGCCCCGCACCTGTGTCACTTATACTACTCCTATTACCCGTGCTGTCAGTGTCAGTAGCATCCTCCTAGTACCGTTTCTGTCTTTGCCGCCCCTTACTCTCCCCCTTTTCTTTTTGCCACTGGCCATTCACCACAAATGGATGAGACACATGATTACTAGTTAGGAAAGAGAGTGTAACGTCTGCTATACGGCTGCAGGCTGTGCCAGCTGCAATCCTAGAAGCTGTTTGTGAATGAGCCTGCCGGTGGTCATTTGGCAGTGTAATCTGCGTCTCTGCACTCCTGCCCCGCAATAGAGCTAAATCGTCACTAATAGTCCGTAGAATGAGGCAACCCCGCGGAATGTTATCCAGAAACATAGTTATAACACCGATCTGGGGACGAATAGTCTTTTTTGCATTGCAAGATAAACCTCTTACAAAAAGAATGCCAGAGAGAAGCAGCACAGCTGCTGCTGCCGCTGCCTCCATGGTTACATCAGACAGGCTGCAGGGTCCTGATGTCCACCCCTCTGCTCTGTGCCGACTCGCCACACGGTGAGGGTCGGCTGCCGTTGTCCACTGACACCTCTGGTCTCCCGTAGCAACTCGATCTCGGATGTCCCGCATCGCACCGCGATTACTTCAATTTCACGCGATTACTTCAAATTTCCTGCGTCTCTCCGCGATTCCTTTTTCCGCGTCTCTCTGCGATTCCGCGTCTCTCCACGATTCCCTTTTCCGCGTCCCCCCGCGATCCCACGTCTCTCCGCGATTCCTTTTTCCGCGTCCCACCGCGATTCCCTTTTCCGCGTCCCACCACGATTCCCTTTTCCGCGTCCCACCGCGATTCCCTTTTCCGCGTCCCCCCGCGATTCCGCATCTCTCCGCAATTCCTTTTTCCGCGTCCCACCGCGATTCCGCGTCCCACCGCGATTCCCTTTTCCGCGTCCCACCACGATTCCATTTCCCGTGTCCCACCGCGATTCTGCGTCCAGTTTCTCACCCCGAGGCTGTTGCCCAGGTCAGTTAGTAGGGTGTTTCAATGCTTCTCTCTGTGCGGTGGTCGGCTTGCCGTGTGCCTCGGATCTACTGGCGCCACTCCGATGTCCAGGCGCCGCTCTGATGTCCCAGCCTCAGCCTGTTCGGGTCTCAGCCTGTTCGGGTCTCAGCCTGTTCGGGCGCCATATGTTGCAGGAAGCACGGCCGAAAGCACGACAGACACCAGTAGAGTCAGATCATGCTCCATTTTATTGCCCGAATAGCCTAACTTTTATAGAGAACTTAACAGGGGTGGACAGTGTTTCACACAAGATTATTGGTCAAAAGCACTCAGACAAACAACTACAAGAAAACAACCCCTACCTGAAAGAAAACAACCCCCTTGTGATTAGCAGTCACATAGACCTTGTCCTTGAAGCCAGCTACTGGTAACAATATTTTTCTGAATTCCTCAATTGGGCGATGTGGGAACACTGTCATGGGAACTTCTCATAGTTGCCCTGGTAGCTTGGTTTGCTCAGCTGCAGGAAGCCATGGGATTTTTGCTGTTTCAAGAAATCCCTCAACACCTACCCTGTGGCGAGGGCAACTGCCGCTATGGTAGCTAAAATTTTGATGGAAAATATAATACCACTTTTTGGGTTAGTAGGGAGTATTGACTCTGACCAGGGGACACATTTCACATCTAAGGTGTTACGGGACTTAACCACAGCCCTAGGCATTAAATGGGAATACCATACTCCATGGCATCCACAAAGTTCAGGACGAGTTGAGAGAATTAATCAAACGATTAAAACAACATTTGGCTAAATTAATGATTGAAACTCAACTGTCTTGGATAAGATGTTTGCCATTGGCATTATTGAATATTAGGACTATGCTCCATAGTGAAACAGGTATTTCACCTTATGAGATGTTATACGGAATGCCGTATTCCCAAGGAATGCCATAAAGCTAAATTGACTCGGAATTTATAACATATAGAAATTCCTTATTTTCCAGAGCCCTTCTGTCTGTCTTGATTAGTTTACAGTATCTATAGAAATCCCTTTAGCATCCATTTCTTACTTCAGTCCCCCCTTTTCTATCTACTTTATGAAATTCTTTTCCTCCATCGCTACTAACTTATTTTTATCCCCTGGTCCCTGAAAGAAATACTCTCCATTTTCTACTTTCTGCCTCAACTTGTGTTTTATTTTTTTTCCATTTTTCATAGTCCTGTGGGGCATCTTGCAGTCCTATGAGCATTGTAATTGTAGCCGTAATCCCCTAGATGGTTTTGACGCCCACCCTAACACAAGAGCTTTCTTAACTCGAGAATGGTGAATCCAGGCAGGTTGCTCTTTAATTCTGATTGCAGTAAAAGTTGTCAAGATTACCTAGAATGGTCCTTCCCATTGTGGCTCTAGGGTCTTTTCTGCAAGAGACTGCCACACCTCGAATACTGTGTTCAGTTTTGGGCCCCTCACTACAAGGACATGGAGGTGCTCAAGCGAGTCCAGAGAAGGGCAACGAAGCTGGTGAGGGGTCTGAAGAACAAGTCCTACGAGGAGCGGCTGAGAAAGCTGGGCTTGTTCAGCCTGGAGAAGAGGAGGCTCAGGGGCAACCTTATCGCACTCTATAGATATCTATAGATATCTTAAAGGAGGCTGTAGCGAGGTGGGGGTTGATCCATTCTCCCACGTGCCCGGTGACATTGACTAAAGTTGTGCCAGGGGAGGTTAGGTTGGATATTAGGAAGAACTTATATACTTATATAGAACATATATACTTATATATGGAAGACACCATATAAGAGGTCATGATTTCATCCCCAACCTGTATGGACATTCCTTTCTATATTCCATAAGGTTGCCCATACAAGATCTCAAAAGGGCTTAGTCCTTCCTTTGCTCTTGGCTTAGTTCGTATGCGCAAGAGAGCCAAGGAAAGGGACTGAGGACAGGTCAAGCTAGTTTCTTGCCCCAATCTCACAATCTGCTGTTTAATTAAGTGGTTCATTTTTTCTACTTGGCCACTCAACTGAGGGCAATATGGAGCATGAAGTTGCCAGTCTATGCCCAAATGACAGCTGATTACCACTTTTGAGATAAAGTGCGGTCCTCTATGAGAAGACATGGTTGCTGGAACCTCAAAACGCAGTATTATGTCTTGTAATAATATCCTAACTACCTTCTGAACCTTGGCTGTCCTGGGGGAGAATGCCTCTGGCCAACCTCAAAAGGTAGGGCGGGCTATTTAAACCGGGCGCCACCGCCATTTCACTGCCATTTGCCGAGGCGATCGGCTCCGGGGCAGACGCGTTCTGCGGCGGAGCGGGGGATCGGGCCAGGCAGGGCTAACTTTCCGGCATCGAGCCGACTTCAGGGAGCCGCCAGGAGCCGGCAGCCCTCGTGAGGGACGCTGACGAGGCGAAGGCGGAGCCAGCAGCGTCCCCTCCCCGGCTGTTCAAAAGCAGCCCCTAGGGAGCGCGAGCGACCAGGAGCGCGGCGAACAGGGCGGGCAAACAGGGAGTGGCGCGGCAGTTAGCGCGGCAGGTCGCGCAGGCAGGGCGAGCAGGAAGGGCGGAGAGCAACACCCTCCCACACGAGCACCTGTTAACGACAGTCGTTAGCAAGGTGATAATGGTCTCCACCAGGCACGGAGCGCTCTGCAGGAGGTCGGTACACACCCAGACCGACTGCCCGCTAAAGAATGCAGCGGTTCAGGTCAACGGATGCAGGGAGTGTCAGAGCCTGCTGCTGCCATCGGCGGGAGGCAGGGACGCTGCGTGTGTGAGGTGTGAGCAGGTGGATGACCTGGTCCGCATGGTGGCGGAGCTCAAGGAGGAGGTGGAGAGGCTGAGGGCCATTAGGGAGTGTGAGCGGGAGATTGACTTCTGGAGCAACTCCCTGCAGGGCATCAAGGAGAGGTACCGGGGTGAGACACCCCAGACGGGGGTGGACCCCCTGCCCTGTCGCCGTCGGGCTGAGGGAGGGGATCTGGGAGCTGAGGAGGAGTGGAGACAGGTCCCTGTGCGACGTGGCAGGCGATGCCCTCCCCCTCCGGCCCCACCTTCCCAGGTGCCCTTACAAAACAGGTTTGAGGCCCTGGAGATTGAGAGACCGGTAGCTGAGGAAGAGATAGAAAGTGTTCCCAGGAGGATGCCTAGGGCGAGGAGGTCGACTCCACGCATCAGAACTGCCTCCACCAAGAAAGAAAGAAGGGTGATTGTCGTGGGAGACTCTGTCCTTAGGGGGACAGAGGGCCCTATTTGTCGGCCTGACCCTACCCGTAGGGAAGTCTGCTGCCTCCCTGGGGCCAGGGTCAGGGACGTGGCCAGGAAGCTCCCCAACCTGGTGCGCCCCTCTGATTATTATCCGCTCCTGATAATCCAGGCGGGCACTGATGACATTGACAACAGAAGCCTGAAGGCTATCAAAAGAGACTTTAGGGGACTGGGACGGTTAGTGGACGGAGCAGGAGTGCAAGTAGTTTTTTCGTCCGTCCCTACGTTGACAGGAAGGGGTACGGAGAGGACAACGAAAGCCCACCTGTTAAACACGTGGCTCCGGGGCTGGTGCCTACGCAGAAATCTTGGGTTTTTCGACCATGGGGCAGTTTACTCAGCACCTGGTCTGGTGGCCGTAGACGGGTCCCTATCCTTTAGGGGAAAAAGGATCCTGGGCCAGGAGCTGGCGGGGCTCATTGATAGGGCTTTAAACTAGGTAAGAAGGGGGATGGGGCTGGAGCGAGGACTGTTGGGGCTGTACCAGGGGGAGCAGTGGCAAGGCCGGAGGATAAGGTAAAGGCCCAGCTGAAGTGCATCTACACCAATGCACGCAGCATGGGTAACAAACAGGAGGAGCTGGAAGCCATCGTGCAGCAGGGCAGGCTACGACTTGGTTGCCATCACGGAAACGTGGTGGGACCAGTCTCATGACTGGAGTGCTGCGATGCCTGGCTATAGGCTCTTCAGAAGGGACAGGCAGCATGGAAGGGGGTGGCGGTGTGGCTCTCTATATTAGAGAGTCTTTCGATGTTGTAGAACTCGAGGCTAGGAATGACAAGATCGAGTCCCTTTGGGTTAGGATCGGCAGGGACAACAAGGCTAGTGTCCTGGTCGGGGTCTGCTATAGACCGCCGAACCAGGATGAGGAGACGGATGAGGAGTTCTACAGGCAGCTGACAGAAGTTGCGAAATCGTCAGCGCTTGTACTCGTGGGGGACTTCAACTTCCCAGACATATCCTGGAAGCACAACACAGCCCAGAGGAAGCAGTCTAGGAGGTTTCTGGAGAAAGTGGAAGATAGCTTCCTGACGCAGCTGATTAGTGAACCTACCAGGGGTGGTGCCCTGCTAGACCTTCTCTTCACAAACAGAGAAGGACTGGTGGAGGATGTGATTGTCGGGAACAGTCTTGGGCAGAGTGACCACGAAATGGTGGAGTTCTCTATTCTTGGCGGGGCCAGGAAGGGAACCAGTAAAACCACTGTATTGGACTTTCGGAGGGCTGACTTTAGGCTGCTCAGGACACTGGTTGGTGGAGTCCCATGGGAGGCGGTTCTGAAGGGCAGAGGGGTTCAGGAAGGCTGGGTGCTATTCAAGAGGCAAATCCTAATGGCACAGGAGCGGTCTATCCCCATGTGCCCAAAGATGAGCCACCGGGGAAGACGACCAGCCTGGCTCAACAGAGAATTGTGGCTTGAGCTTAGGAGGAAAAAGAGGGTTTATAATCTTTGGAAAATTGGGCAGGCCACTAGGGAGGACTATAAGGATGTAGCGAGGCTGTGCAGGGACAAAATTAGGAAGGCCAAAGCTCATCTGGAGCTCAAGCTGGCTACTGCCGTTAAAGATAACAAAAAACGCTTTTATAAATACATCAACACAAAAAGGAGGACTAAGGAGAATCTCCATCCTTTACTGGATGCGGGGGGAAACTTAGTTACAAGAGATGAGGAAAAGGCGGAGGTGCTCAATGCCTTCTTTGCCTCAGTCTTTAGTGGTAAAACCGGTTGCTCTCTGGATACCCAGTACCCAGAACTGGTGGAAGGGGACGGGGAGCAGGATGTGGCCCTCACCATCCACGAAGAACTGGTTGGTGACCTGCTACGGCACTTGGATGTGCACAAGTCGATGGGGCCGGATGGGATCCACCCAAGAGTACTGAGAGAACTGGCAGAGGAGCTGGCCAAGCCCCTATCCATCATTTATCAGCAGTCCTGGCTATCGGGGGAGGTCCCAGCTGACTGGCGGCTAGCAAACGTGACGCCCATCTACAAGAAGGGCCGGAGGGCAGACCCGGGGAACTACAGGCCGGTCAGTTTGACCTCAGTACCAGGGAAGCTCATGGAGCAGATCCTCTTGGGAGTCATCATGCGGCACTTGAAGGGCAAGCAGGCGATCAGGCCCAGTCAGCATGGGTTTATGGAAGGCAGATCCTGCTTGACGAACCTGATCTCCTTCTACGACAAAGTGACGCGCTGGGTGGACGAGGGAAAGGCTGTGGATGTGGTCTACCTTGACTTCAGCAAGGCTTTTGACACCGTTTCCCACAGCATTCTCCTCAAGAAACTGGCTGCTCTTGGCTTGGACTGGCGCACGCTTCGTTGGGTTAGAAACTGGCTGGATAGCCGGGCCCAGAGAGTTGTGGTAAATGGAGCCAAGTCCAGTTGGAGGCCAGTCACTAGTGGCGTCCCCCAGGGCTCGGTGCTGGGGCCGGTCCTCTTTAACATCTTCATCAATGATCTGGATGAGGGCATTGAGTGCACCCTCAGTAAGTTTGCAGATGACACCAAGCTAGGTGCGTGTGTCGATCTGCTTGAGGGTAGGAAGGCTCTGCAGGAGGATCTGGATAGGCTGCACCGATGGGCTGAGGTCAACTGTATGAAGTTTAACAAGGCCAAGTGCCGGGTCCTGCACCTGGGGCGCAATAACCCCAAGAAGAGCTACAGGCTGGGAGAGGAATGGCTGGAGAGCTGCCAGGCAGAGAAGGACCTGGGAGTGATGGTGGACAGTCGGCTGAATATGAGCCAGCAGTGTGCTCAGGTGGCCAAGAAGGCCAACGGCATCCTGGCTTGTATCAGAAACACTGTGACCAGCAGGGCTAGGGAGGTGATCGTCCCCCTGTACTCGGCTCTGGTGAGGCCGCACCTCGAGTACTGTGTTCAGTTCTGGGCCCCTCGCTACAAGAAGGACATCGAGGTGCTTGAGCGGGTCCAGAGAAGGGCGACGAAGCTGGTGAGGGGCCTGGAGAGCAAGTCCTATGAGGAGCGGCTGAAGGAGCTGGGCTTGTTCAGCCTAGAGAAAAGGAGGCTCAGGGGTGACCTTATCACTCTGTATAAGTATATTAAAGGAGGCTCTAGCGAGATGGGGGTTGGCCTGTTCTCCCATGTGCCTGGTGACAGGACGAGGGGGAATGGGCTAAAGTTGCGCCAGGGGAGTTTTAGGTTAGATGTTAGGAAGAATTTCTTTACTGAAAGGGTTGTTAGACATTGGAACAGGCTGCCCAGGGAGGTGGTTGAGTCACCATCCCTGGAAGTCTTCAAAAGACGTTTAGATGTAGAACTTAGGGATATGGTTTAGTGGGGACTGTTAGTGTTAGGTCAGAGGTTGGACTCGATGATCTTGAGGTCTCTTCCAACCTAGAGATTCTGTGATTCTGTGATTCTGTGGTATCAGTTAATACTAATAAATATCAATACCCTCCCCTTTTCTTGGAAGTTCTGTAAAATCAATCTGCCATTGTTGCCCAGGCTCATTGCCCTTCCCAATTTGGCCCATTTCCAGTTTGGGGGTGCTCTTGGAATTAGTCTGGAGACAAAGATTGCACTGCCAAGTCACTTGTCTCACAGTGGTGTATAAATTTCTAGCTACAATGTCTCTAATCAGGTGTTTATATAGGGCCTCTGCCCCCCAGTGCCTCTTCCTATGTTCTTCCCTTATCAGGGGCCATGTTAAATAGGAGGGAATAATCAGTTTCCCTTGTGGGGTGTGAGCCCACCCTTCTTTATTATATGATCCTTATAAATCTGTGATAAGCTTTTGATCTTCCTTAGTGTATTCTGGCTTATCTTCTAGAGAGATTCGTCCATCCGGGACCAAAGCCCCTTCTGTTCTTACCTTTACATTGGCTACCTGTTTTGCCTCTCTGTCTGCCAGCTCATTTCCTCTTTCCAACTTTGAGTTCACTTTCTGGTGTGCCTTAATGTGCATAATCACCAGTTTCTCAGGGAGCTGGACTGCCTCCAGTAGTTTCAGGATCTCCTCTGAATGCTTGATATTTTTTCCTTGTGAGTTAAATAATCCTCTCTCTTTCCAGATTGCTCCATGTGCATGTACAACCCCAAAAGCATATCTCGAATCAGTATAGATATTTACAACTTTGCCTCAGGCCAATTCCAAGGCGCGGGTCAGTGCAAATATTTCTGCCTTTTGTGATGAGGTGTTTATGGGCAAAGGTCCTGACTCTATCACTTCCAACTGGTAGTGACGACATAGCGTGCCTTTTAACGCTTGGGACATAGCTGCTTCCATCAGTGAACCAGTTTTCCGTATTCTCCATAGGGCTGTCTCTCAGGTCTGAATGACTTGAATATGTTGCCTCGATGGTTTCCAGACAGTCATGATGCACTGGTTCTCCTAGGTTTCCACTGAGGAAACTATTTCCACATCATCCTGTTCTACCATTATAACCTGATATCTCAAGAACCTCTGTGGGGAAAGTCAGTGTCCACCTTTTGCTTCCAATACTGCGGATACTGTATGGGACACCAACATAGTCATTTTCTGGCCCAGGGTGAATTTTTGAGCTTCCTGGATGTTTAGCACTACATCCGCAACCACTCGCAAACATCCAGGCCAACCTTTTGCAGTTGCATCCAGCTGCTTGGAAAAGTAGGCAACTGCTTGTTGATACGGGCTGAGATCTTGTGCCAGTATTCCTAGGGCAATCCCCTTCTTCTCATGGGAAAAAAGGAAAAACGGCTTATTCACATCTGGGAGTCCTAGGGCTGGGGCCGACATCAAGGCCTTTTTTAGCATCTCGAAGGCTTGTGTGATTTCCTTATCCCATTCGAGGTATTTCTGTTTGGTGTTTGTTAGTGCATATAGAGGTTTAACAAGCAACCCATAGTTGTAGATCCATAGTCAGCACCACCCAGTCATTCCCAGGAATGTTCGTAATTCCTTTACTGCTTGCGGTCTCAGAGTTTGGCATATTGCTTCTTTCCGGGCCTGTCCTAAAGTCCTTTGTCCCGCACTGATTTCATAACTCAGATATATCACTTTGCGCTGCATCACTTGAGCCTTCTTTTTGGATACCCGGTATCCCTGGTGTTGAGGGATTTTTGAAACTGGGCTGAGACCTGGTGAGACACGGAGAGACGCTGAGAGACATGAGAGACACTGAGAGACCTGAGACGCAGAGAGATGCAGAGAGACTAGGAACAGAGATGTGGTCTGAGCACATACCTGGACAGACGCGTTGAGACGCGGAGTGTTGTCGCGGTGAGACACGGAGTAGAGTCGCGGTGAGATGCGGAGAAGTGAAGTATTGCGGTGAGACACGGGACATCCGGGGTCGAGTTGCTATGGGACATCGGAGGCGTCAGTGAAAACGGCAGACGACCGCCACCGTGTGGCGAGTTGGCACATAGCAGAGGGGTGGAGGTCACGACCCTGCAGCTCGTCTGACGTAACCATGGAGGAGGAAGCAGCTATCCAGCTTCTCTCTAGTATTCTCTCTAAGACAGGTGTACCTTGAAATGTAAAAAAGATCAAATCCTTGGTGCACTGGGCTCAGAAGGAGGGTTTTCCAAAGGAAATCCCTCTAATGTTTAGCCCAGATGAGTGGCGGCACGTAGGAGATCGCTTATGGGATAACGCCATCTCAAGTGGAAAGCTATATAAAAATGTAAGTGGGACATGGCACACAGTGATTAATGCGCTGTGCGGTATGAAAACCGAACAGCAGCTGGCTTTGTCAGTACCGTCTGGGACTGACAGAACGCCGAGTACAAAACCTGAGACCTCAGGAATGCGGCCAGCACGATCGTTTTCATCAGTTCCTGTGCCCACTCCGGTTCAGGGTATGACCTCTTCAATAAAGGAATTAGCGGCAGAAATAACTAAGGGACTATCGGAGCAGAGTGCTGATGGGGAGTGGGGGTTGCCCTCCCCACCCCCCGTGCCTGAAAATCTTGATGAAGCTGTGCTGCCAGTGTCTGTGCCACTGCCAGGCAGCAATAAATCCAATCGGAATGCTTCGCCAATGAGAGGTGCAGCAGCAGCTTGTGAAAATCGACCTTCACTGGAGGAGTTGTTCCAAGAACTGCTAGAGAAATTGGAGAACTTAAAAATTATGGATTCAGAGGAGCTTCATCTCTCGTCTGCCCCACAGGAGCCAACTCCCTCATTATCCGTCGCTACACCACCGTCGGCACCAAGGAGGGACAGGTGCTCTGACGTCATACGTTATGCCATCATAGAAGGGCATAGACATGCTACATCCTTGGCCTGCCCTATTATTATCGACCCTGTGCAAGGTACCGGGTTGTGGCAGCCGCATGATTGCAAGCTTTTACAAAAAGCTTGAAAAATGGTTAAGGACTACGGTTTACAATCCCAGGCAGCTCGACAGATAATTCATTGGATTTTCCAGGCAGAACCAATGTGTCTACTTGACTGTCGAAACTCGGTGTGCTTATTGTTAACTCATTCCCAATTGTTATTTTTTGAAAGGGAATGGTTGCAGTTAGCACGGGGGAAGCGGGTCGACTGCTTCAACCGGGGGACCCTCTGTATGGGATTACTGAAGAGATGTTAAAGGGGATGGGTCCTTATCTCAATACCCAGATTCAGTTGCAGTTCCCTGCGATTATTCACCAAACAGCTGCGCAGCTCTCACTGAGGGCTCTTCTTAGTCTCCCAGGGGAAAAGAAAGCACCTCCATTCGCATCAGTAGAACAGGCCCCTGGGGAACCATATGCTAAATTTATCAATCAGTTGTGGGCAGCAATTCCTGATCATCCTGATATAACAGCGGAGTCTAAAAGCAGTGTGTTTAAAATGCTTGCATTTGATGATGCAAACCCAAAAACTCAAAACATCTTAGTTACACTGCCAAGAACCGCACCGGTAGAGGACATGTTGGAAAGGGTACAGAGAGCTGATCAGTCCAGGCAACCAGATGTGGTGGCACAGGACTGTCAGAGATTTGCTTTTACGGTACCCTCCATTAACAAACAGGCCCCGGCAAAGCGCTATGAATGGCTAGTGCTTCCGCAGGGGATGAGGAATTCCCCTACATTATGTCAATTATATGTGGCCTGGGCATTACAACCAATTCAGACAGCGTGGTGTGATGTAATTATTTACCATTATATGGATAACATTCAGTTTGGAAGGCCAGAATGCTTCCAGGATTCATATTTAAAGCTTATTTGGGATACATTGGAAGCTAAAGGGTTGAAGATAGCCCCAGAGAAGGTTCAACAGAAACAGCCATGGCTATACTTGGGATGGAAAATATCAGACTCTACTATTCGTCCACAGAAAGGTGATATAACTACAGTGTTACACAATTTGACAGATGTACAAATGTTCCTGGATAATATTCAGTGGGGTTGCCACATTGTACGGATTACTAATGACGACTTAGCTATATTACTACCTTTATTGCGGGGCAGGAGCGCAGAGCAGCAGATTATACTAACAAATGACCAACAGCAGGCTCTTTCGCAAATAGTTTATAAGGTTGCAGCCGTCACTGCTTGCAGACGTATACCACAAGTTGCACTCTCCTTCCTAATTAGCAATCATGTGTCTCATTCATTTGCGGTGATTGGTCAGTGGCAAAAAGAAAAGGGGGAGACAAAGACAGAAACAGTATCAGGAAGATGCCACTGACACTAACAGCACTGGTAATAGGAATAGCATAAGTGAAACAGGTGATGGCAAGGGTGGAATTATAGGGCAGCATTTAGAGTTCTGGAATGGATTTTCCTACAGATTCAGACAAAAACGAGTGTTCAAACACGGGCAGAAGCTATCGCAGAGTTAGTACGTGAGGGTTGCTCTCGGAGTATTGAGATCAGTGGGAAGGAACCAGGAGATATTAGTCTGCCAATGACTCAGGATCATTTGGAATGGTGTTTACAGCAATCCATACCACTACAAGAAGCTGTGTTAGGTTACCTGGAATTGGTACATTCCCGAACTCCAAAGGGGCCTCTCTGGCAAGTTATAAGATCATATAAATGGCAGATAGTACCACGGCTTTCGTCCCGACCAGTGGTGGATCGCACTGTATACACTGATGCAGGTGCAGCAAGTAGGAAGGCTGTGTGTGTGTGGTATGAGAATGGAAGTTGGGAGAAATATATAATTCCGGGGGAGACAGGGGATTCATTACAAACATTGGCATTGTCAGCAGTTGTTTGGGCTTGTCAGTGCTGGATGGAGGAGCCAATTAATTTCATCTCAGACTCTCTGTATGTAGTCAATGTGGTAAAACGGAGAGAGGATGCCTTGATACGGCAAACTAAGAGGGACAGATTGTTGTCATTATTTCTGCAGCTGCGAGATGCCATTCAGGGGAGAACTGCACATTACTTTGTTATCCATATACGTAGCCATCAGTTCTCGACTGGGTTAGAGGAAGGTAATTCACAAGCAGACAAGTTGGTGAGTATAGTCACAATGGGGCCTCAGAGTGATTTTGCACATGCGCAAGTGTCGCACGAAATGTTCCATCAGAATGCAAAGGGTCTTCGGAGAATGCTTGGATTTACCTGGACAGAGGCGAAAGGAATAGTAAAAGCGTGCCCTTCCTGCAATCATCATGGACCAGGGTTAGGTTTGGATATTAATCCACGGGGTGTTAAGGCACTTCAGGTACGGCAAATGGATGTAATGCATGTGCTGGAATTTGGTACAAAAGATATGTGCATGTGAGTATTGATACCTTTTTCAAGATTCATATGGGCAACAGCGCAGGGGGAGAAATAGCACACCTTGTATGTAGACATCTGATGGTGTGTTTTGCCATTATGAGAGTGCCACAGCAGATCAAGATGGACAATGGTCCAGCGTATGTTAGCAAAAGGGTTAGAAAATTTATGAAAATGTGGGGACTAAAGCATATCACAGGTGTTCCATATTCTCCCACGGGCCAAGTGATGGTTGAACAATCACATCAGGTTTTAAAGGAACAATTAGCGAGATTAAAAGAGATCAAGAACATCAATGAGCGATTGTCCAAGACATTGGTTGTCTTGAATCACTTATGTTTGGCTAGTGACTGAGAAGACCCTCCTGCGAGTATTCATTTTCAAACAATAAATAGAGCAGCACCAAATGTGTTACCACAAATAATGTATTACTGAGATCCTGCTACAGGAACTTGGAAAGGGCCATACGGGTACAGAAACACAACACCTGTGGTTACAATGACACTGCTAGGCAGGGTTTAGGGGCTTATGGCACAGAGACAAGGGGTAACAACTATAGCGTTTGGAACAATCGTACAGCTATGGCCTTACCTCCTGATGTTTTTCTGATTTGCGGGGATAGGGCCTGGCAAGGTATCCCTGCAAATGCTATCGGAGGTCCATGTTACTTAGATAAACTTACTATATTTGCTCCTAGCTTGTCACAGTGGCGTGAGATCACCAGACATAAATGGGCATTGCTCGCACCAGATTGCAATGATAATGTTGAATTGCTTGGTGTTGCGGCTAGAGTGGCATTGGCAATTTTCATGCCAGGAGTGGCATCTGCGGCCGCACTTAACAACTTAGAAAAATTGGCATGCTGGGCCGAGAAGCAAGCCAATGCCACGACAAAGATACTTGAGGAGATGTTACCAGATCAAAATAGTCTGCAACATGTGCTCTTACAGGATGGAGCCGCTATTGACTTCTTGCTTTTGGCTCAAAGGCATGGGTGTGAGGACTTTGAGGGAATGTGCTGTTTAAACCTTTCTGATTATAGTGAGTCAATTCACAAATCCATTACTTTCCTGAAAGAGCACATGAGAAAGATTCAATATGATATCAATCCTTTCAATCAATGGCTCACTGATTTGTTTGAAATGATGCATAGATGGTTACTGGGATTAATCAAAGAGGGATTAAGGATTCTGTTTGTTGTGGTAATCATCATTGCATGTTGTATTGTAATAAATGTGGTTAAAAGGTTACATGCAAAACTGTTACATCGGGCTTGGTTTGCTCAAAAAGAAAAAGGGGGAATTGATGAAGAATTTTTTAAAAAAGCAAGGAGGCTATGGCTTGCTGCAGCTGAGCAAACCAAGCTACCAGGACAACTATGAGAAGTTCCCATGACAGTGTTCCCACATCGCCTGATTGAGGAATTTAAAAAATATTGTTGCCAGCAGCTGGCTTCAAAGACAAGGTCTACGTGACTGCTAATCACAAGGGGTTGTTTTCGTGCAGTTGTTTGTCTGAGTGCTTTTGACCAATAATCTTGTGTGAGACACTATTCGCCCCTGTTAAATTTGCTATAAAAGTCAGGCTATTTGGGTAATAAAGGGAGAGCATGATCTGACCATACTGGTGTCTGTCGTGCTTTCGGCTGTTCTTCCTGCAACAACTAATACTGTGAACCCAGCCTCTTTCCCTACTAACAGAGTTTCCAGATTACCCATTCATGATTGCATACTCCATCTGACCAGACTTAAAGAATATAGATGGCAGCAGCTTTGTCCGCCAGGGACTTCGCCTCACAGGATATGCGGTAACAAACATCAGCCCAAAAGGTGGAAATCATTGCCTTGATAAGAGCTTTTGATCTGGAAAACATTTGGACAGATTTGAAATATGCCTTTGGTTTGGTGTATGCACACGGGGCAATTTGGAAGGAGAGGACTTTTATCTTCCTCAATTAAACATGCAGAAAAGATACTGAAATTACTCCAAACGGTATACCTGCCTACTAAAGTTAACATGAAAATACATCAAGCAGGACATACTGATATTGAAAGCGGAAATAGATAGACTGACGCAGGAGCCAAAGGGGTGGCAGAACGGGCATCTGAGAG